CGTCTCTATTCCCTTTCGACTGCAATGATTTCATTAAAGTTCTAGATATTATAATAATTGGGTTAGAATTAATTACATGTCCCTTCTTTGGCCATATGCAGTGGATAGTTAATACGTATATTCTCTCGTATAAATATTAAAAAAAAAAGATATATTACCGACAGTCTTTAAAATAATAATTTTATTAAATGTAATACTCCTTTATTTAAAAAGTTTTCATTTGGTTTAATATTTGCTCTCATTTACTTAAGTGATATTTTCATGGGATTCAGCTCTCCCTCACAACCAATTATTCTTTTCACTTTGAATAACGAGTTGGGAATTTTCAAGAAACCTTTGATATGACAAAAACTACATAAGATATTAAAACTGTTTCCTTAAAAAATGCAGTTTAATGGGACTTGATCAAGAGGCAATCAGTATAGCCCCTCCTCCCTTTCCCCTTTTAAAACAAGTTGGGGACTTACCCGAGTTTTTAACTTTGCAATAACAATTATATATAAAATATTTCTAATTAAACAATTTTGAAAATTTTTGCCCTAATAATTGTATTGCAGCAAACATTACCACCACTCTCTCTCTCTCTCTCTCTCTCTCTCTCTCTCTCTTAGCAGTCAAACCATTTATATAATTAGTTCTACAACATGAAATAAGTAAATAAATATTTGTTCGGACAAGTAAAGTTCTTTGTTCGAACAAAGAATTTATTTGTTTGGACAAATAAGTTATTCATTCGGACGAATTAATATTTGTTCGAACAAATAACTAATTTGTCCAAGCAAATAAGTTTTTTATTCGGATGAATTAGTAAAAATAGTTATAGGTGACAGCATGCCTCGATCAACATGTTATTTACACCGAATCATTCCATCCCCCATGTAGGCTAAGAATAATAAAATATATTTTAATTCTTTGCAAATACATAATTTAAGTAATGAACAATAATAACAAAAATTAAGATCAATAAATATTTGGCTGATATGAAATCTTGTAGTTCTGTTCTTCCTTATCTTTCTATTTTCTTTTTCATTTAAAAATTCACTATGCTGCAAGGCACATGCATTGTTTTGAGTGTGTGAATGATATTACTGGTACATGCACGATGTATGTGATGAAAGGAAAGGAAATGAATTTTTAATATTCGTGCTTGTTAATTAAGAAAACTTCACAAAAATGAAAATGTTATATTAAACTCTCTGAAAAAAATGTGTAGAACTGAGGAAAACATGGAACGAAACAACATTGAAAAGTGGTGGATTGAAATATAGTGGCACAGCCATGAATAAATGTTTTAAATATTATGTGCTGATCGAGAGTCAAAGGGTTATGTTTATATTATTACAATGCATGAAAATAATGTATTTTAAACAAGCCAATAGCTTTAGAGAGCATAAATATAGTCCTCACCCCCACCCCGGCATTATTTAGAAGGTAATCGGACAAATTATTTTTGAATTTCCTTTATAGCATTTTAAAAGTTTATATGGTTTCACAGTACTAGTTTGAAACCCCTAGCATCAGTAATTTCAATTGTAGGTCAAACTCCAAGGTCTAGGTCATGATAAAAAATTATTGGTACCCAAAGGAAGGTTTTGTCATAAGAAATGCATGTGAAATATCAAAGCAATAGCGCCTCCAACTCAACTGACACTAGCAACTATCTGAAAGAAAAAAAAGAAAAAAAAAAATACCGAAACTTTTTGTAATAAAGCTGAAATGAATATAAAGGTTGAAGTAATCTACTAGCATTTTAACCTTTTCTCTTTGCGGGAATATTTTCAAGAAACCCCCCCCCCCCCATTAATCTATTGCCTTAATCATGGCGAGAGTTGAATCATAGTATATTTGTGCTTTTGAAGACTCCATCACAATACACTTTCTAGAACTCCTTGCAGTATTATTGAAAAGTTAATTAATGACCTTTTACTTTTAAAAAAAATCTAGTAAGTTTTTTTTTAGGGGGGGGGGGGGGGATTTGGTCATTATTTACAAGTCTTTTTGTAAGTTCTATGTCTTTAAATTACATATATACGTACATATACTTTCATGAAATTTTAAAATATAAATAAGTCTAAGAGTTTTACAGATCTAAGTAATATTCTGTAGAAGATGGATTTATGAGCCCCCTCCTCTTTTAATCCCTTCATCACAGCATACTTATGTGTGGAAAAAAACCAGTATGGAAACAAAACTTCAAATTTTGTGTTTGTAAAACTGAAAGTTTTAGACCCTGGGGGCAGGGACTTTTGATGTTTCCAAACCTGATGTTTATTCATTTAGTATAATAAAGTGGGCATAAAAACTTGAGGGGTGGATCTCGTATTTTTTTTTCAGCAGAGGTGGTAACTAACCACTAGCACCCCACGGTGAAAATTTCAGTACCACCAGCAAGAAGTGCTTTGGTAGAAGCTAACATTAATTTATGACAAAGCGTTTGCATGTGTCAGGTATGGGAGTGGGGTAACTCCCTATTTTCTCATAGAAGTTGAGAAACGCGAGCACTTGCTATAGCTACATGTTTTATTACATGTAGTAAGATAATTAAATTGCATTTGATTTACCCATAAACTTTGGAGTAGCGGATCATTTGGACTAGAAATTTCTGAATAATCTGAATCAACTTATCTGACTTTAATATCACATGTCTTTTTCCAATGTTTGTATGTCATTGGTTCAAACAGCTACATAATTTGGTGCATGTCTTAATTTAAAAAACATATATTTAACCCTCTCTGTAATATATATTTATGACCTTGCAAGAGGGGTTGGGTCTTGCTAAATCCGCAGGTATACAACTCTCAAGATTAGACAATTTGTCCAAATTCACATAAATTGTTTGAACAAAGTACTAATTTGTCCATACAAATATCTAATTCATCCGAACAAACACCTAATTTGTCCGTACAAATATCTAATTTGTCCAAACAAATATCTTATTTGTCCAAATGAATATCTAATTTGTCCGAACAAATACCTAATTCACCCGAACGAATTTCTAATTTGTCCGAACAAATATCTAATTTGTGCGAACAAATATCTAATTCATTGGAACAAATACTTAAATTGTCCGAACAAATATCTAATTTGTCTGAATGAATATCTAATTTGTCCGAATGAATTTCTAATTTGTATGAACAAATACTTAATTCGTCTGAACGAATTTCTAATTTGTCTGAACAAATATTTAATTTGTCCCAACAAATATCTAATTTGTCCGAACAAATAGCTAAGAACAAGGTACGGTTTCAATACAATTCTTGCCCTGTGTTTTTCTTAAAAATTAAAACTCATGCTTTCTGAATCATTGAAATTCCATGCAGAAAGATCATACAAATCATTTTTCTCTCATGACCTTTCTAAATGCTAATTGTGACGTCATAAACCTGAGCAATTTCCCGTATTTTCTTAAAAAGTTGCAGAAGACACCAATTTTCAATGGAATTTTCTTTCAGATAATATTGTCCATAGCCATCACCCACAAAGATTTTGAGATATGTGATTTTTCAAAGAATTGTACACAACATATCCAAAAATTAAAGTGGGCGACGGCTGTGGACACTACTTAAGGAAAATAACCCTTGAAATGAGTCATTTTGAGGCATTTTCTGTTTAAAATAGAGAAATGAATCAAATAAATACATCATATTTCCAGAATGGTACTCCTTCATGCCATATTCTTTCCTGATTTATCACAGTCACATACTCAACTAATATTTAAGCCAGTTTCAAACCTTTTTGAAAACATTAGATTTTTAGGGCACAATGAAGCTAAAACCGTACCTTCTTCTTTGTCCGAACAAATTTCTAATTTGTCCGAACGAATTTTTAATTCGTCCAACAAATATATAATTCGTCCAAACAAAAAAATTTTTTTTTTTTTTATCTAGCCCTCCAACGGTACCATACTATACCAAAAAAAAAAGAAAAGAAATTGAATAATTCTTAATGCTGCCATTAATATTTATTCGGCGAATGTTACCAACATGATTGTTGGGGTTACGTTTATCAGTGTTTATCTCAGACACTTACTTTAGTTTTAAAATTTCTGCAAATGAATGAATTGTAAATTAATTTCTGATTTTAGAGATTAATTAATTTTATATGCAGTGTTAACTTTTTTTTAATCCTGTCCCACTAACTGCTTATCAGAAAATCCAATGGAATCAAAACACATGGCCCATGCACCTGTATCATCTCAATTCTCATAGAACATGTACATCATAAATTACATCTTTATGAAGTCGGAGAATTTTATAAATAATTATTTGTAATCTAACTATTAAGTCTTAATTAGTTTTAAAATATCCATTCCTAAGTAATTTTTTCAGTTTTCCAAAGTCGATGAATTGCATCAATAATTATTTGTAACTTTAAGCCTTATTTTGTTTTGGAAATATCCACTCCTAAATATTTTTACCTATTTTGGGTGAAGAATCATGCGTTTGCGTGAAGGATCATTCGTGTAACAGGTTTAATCATGTGTTAATCGTGCAGAATCGTTCGTGTAACGTGATCGTTCTGTAAGTTGTCAACAATAACGTTGCAGGCACTGTATTTCTCTTGCTTTTTGGCAACATAGCTTTCTTTATCAGTTTATTTTGTTTTAATCTATGAATTGTTACATTATACTCAGGTGACCGTGAAGGCCCTTGGAACTCTTGGTTTTTATGAAAATCTATAGAAATTTGCACAAATGTATATAATGTAATATATATATTTGTGCACAGCTTAAGAGATTTTCATAAAAAAAAAACTTTTATGGGAGCAGGAATATGCCTTTACTTTTTATTGTTCTTTGTAAAGCTATTATTAACATTAATGTGTCTAGCAGATTAACAACGTGGTTTAAGGTGGTTATCTAAATGAAAATTTTTCATTTTACTTATATGACAATTGCAGAAAAAAGTAGTGAGTAATTGACTCATAATGATAAACATATGATGTATTGAGGTGATACTTTCCAGTTGAGAGGGTTCAGTTTGCATTTTGCTTGATTTCAGATTTGCAAAATTCACAGAATGCTTCCTAGTGGAGGAATACTGGTCTTTGTAACAGGACAACAAGAAGTATATACACTTTGTAAAAAACTGAAGAACACTTTTCCTGTCAATTGCAGACAAAAAGGTATTGATTTAATTAAAAGGAAATTGATGTTTAAGCCCTTTGTTATGCCCCACCATGAATATGTCTGGGGCATATAGTGTTTGTCATGTCCGTCTTCCGTCCTTCCATCCCTCCGTCCTTCCATCTGTCCTTCCGTTGCGCTTTGCGTTTAGTTCAGTTCAAAGCTTAGTTTCAAAGAAACTATCCAAGATATTTTTATCAAACTCTATATGCTGATAGATATTGATGAGAGCTATGCAACTGCATCAACATTTTTTGACCTTGACCTTTCCTTTGACCTTGACCTCACTTTTCCTAAATTAGTGTTTAGCTCAGTTTTAAACATACCATTGAAGATAGTTTCATCAAACTTCATTTGTTGAAAAATAATGATGTAAGCTATTCAACTGCATCAACATTTTTTGACCTTGACCTTTCCTTTGACCTTGACCTCATTTTTCTTAAATTAGTGTTTAGCTCAGTTTAAAAGAAACCATTCAAGATATTTTTATCAAACTTTATATGCTGATAGATATTGATGAGAGCTATGCAACTGCATCAACATTTTTTGACCTTGACTGTTCCTTTGACCTTGACCTCACTTTTCTTAAATTAGTGTTTAGCTCAGTTTTATAGAAACCATTCAGGCTAGTGTTATCAAACTTCATGTGCTGATACATACTAATGAGAGCTGTTCAACTGCATCAACATTTTTTTTAACCTTGACCTTTGCTTTGACCTTTGATCTTACATTAGTGTCAAACTTCATATGCTGAAATAACTGATGTAAGCTATTCAACTGCATCAATATTTTTACCCTGACCTTTCATTTGACCTTAAACTTACTTTTCTTAATTTGTGTTTAACTCAGTTTTAAAGAAACAATTCATAATATTTTTATTTTTTTTTATCAAACTTCATATGTTAATACATACTGATGTAAGCTTTTCAACTGCATCAACATTTTTTGACCTTGACCTTTCCTTTGCCCTTAACTTCATTTATTTTAAGTTAATGTTTAGCTCTGTTTTATATAATCCATTCAAAATATTTTTATCAAACTTAATATGCTGATACATATTTGTGAGAACTATTCAACTGCATCAAAATGTTTGACCTTCAACTTTCCTGTGACCTTGACCTCACTTTTCTTAAATTTGCATTTTGCTAAGTTTTTTTTAAAGAAATCATTTAAAATATATTTATGTAAGCTTATGTACTTATACATAATTTGATGAGAATTTATAATCTATATCCAACTTTTTAGATTTCAATTTTAAAGAAACTATTTAAGATATTCTCATCAAATTTCTTATACACTAATACAAATTTTCATGTTATGGCGCCATTTTGAAATGAGATGTTTGAGTTTCAATCCCGATTTATATTTTAATTTGTAAATTGTGTACCTATATTGTCATTAATTTTATATTATAATGTGTGAAGTGGAGTTGAAAACGAGTTAAACATGTAAGCATTTTTAAAAAATCTACTTGTAACTTAACTTTATATTTCTTTAAGTGGGTTGTGTCACTGCTGCGTTTCAGTTCGTCTAATGACACTTAGTAAACACACGTTAGCACATCTACCACGAAAGGTGTTCATTGCATTGAAGTGACTCATATAATTCTGCGTGGCTGGATTAGAGGAAATAATTAATTATGAGAAGTTGGGACCAATTTGACCGTTTGAATTACAGAATAGACAGTATCTGGACTACACAGATTTTTTTTATAACACATTTGTTAAAGAAGTGCATGGGACTAAAATTTATATCCAAAATTTACAAAATTCCGGAGTACTCAGAATCTGGATAAAACAAATTTTACTATAGATATATATATATATATATATATATATATATATATATATATATATATATATATATATATATATATATATATATATATATATATTTATATTTATATATATACAGTAAAGCTTGTTTAGTACAACACGTATATAGCAAATTTAGGGATAAAGTGAAGTTTTTTGCAATCCCCAGCAAAATTGTTAACAATTCCTTGTAATTTTTTATGGATAATTTTTTACAGATATAAGGAACTCTGGTATAGCAAATTTACGGATATAACGAACTGACTTTGTGTCCCCTAGATAATAAGAACAACAAAATTTAAGTCTTTTATAGCGAATTTTCAAAGATGAGTGAGCAGGTTAAAGTTTTTGGAGCAAGTCTCTTTTCCAAGTAACTATAAGCCCTATGTTGACCAAACTTGCATGGATGATTCATCTAAGGATGCGCACTGCTGGACTTGCTTTGGATGCTGTATATGACCTACATTTTCCAGATGAATGAGCAGGTTAAAGTTTTTGGAGCAGATCTCATTTCCAAGTAACTTTAAGTCCTATGTTGACCGAATTGCATGGATGGTGCGTCTAAGGATACACACTACTGGACATGCTTTGGATGCTGGATCTGACCTACATTTTTCGGATGAGTGACCAGGTTAAAGTTTTTAGAACAGGTCTCATTTCCAAGTAACTTTAAGCCCTATGTTGACCAAACTTGCATGGATGATACATCTAAAGATGCACACTACCACTACCATGCTTGCTTCGGATGCTGTATCTGACCAACATTTTCCAGATGAGTGACCAGGTTAACTATAAGGGCTATCTTATCCAAACTTTCATGAATGATGCACAGAGGATGAACATTCTCAAACTTGCTTCAGATGCTGAATATGACTTACATTTTCTGGATGAGTGCCTAGTTTATTAAAGTTTTAAGGTAATAGCCACTAACCAAAAGGTTAGGGGTCATACGATATGTAAATTTAAGATATTACTTTATTTCCCTTAAGTTACAATATCTGTTGATGTCAAAGTTAAATAATTGATTCAGTATTAAGGTCTACCAGATGGCTTGGCAAATATCACATTGTTATTAATCCCTTTGAAGTATAATTAGTTAATCTCTCAAGTCAATTAAGTTGCCTAATTATCTATTCTTAAGGCATGACAGGTGTGACAACAATTATCACTCTACCTGTCCATGTCACCTACTCATTCATTGAAAAGCCAAATTGAGTAAATCAAATAATTACTAGATTTACTCTAAAAGAAAATATATATTGAGAAAAGAATAGTAGTTGAGAGAGTAGACAGAGGACAGTTAGTCAGAGTGAGTGATTGAGAGAATTAGCTTGAGTTAGGGCATGCAGCTAGCAGACCCAGTCTTAGATGGGTATATAAAATGTACATATTCCTGTAATAAAGACTGGAAAAGACATTTCTACTTATGTCTTAATCCTTGAAGGTTTTATGTCAAGGACAGTAACCAAGTCTTATGGTTACTGCGTGACCAAGTGTTGTAGGGTGCACTACTTATTCCGGGTGGACCCCTACCCTCCCCAAGCGGCGGTCACAAGAGCGGTCACAGTAAGTCCATTCTCAAGTAACTGCAAGCCCTATCGGACCAAAATTGCATAAATGTTACATCTAAGGATGCACACTACTAAATTATTAATTTGAAACTTTGCCTTACTTGAAGACAACATTCGTTGAGGTGAGCTCTGTAATCTCTGATTACCTATGTTTTCAGAAATGAGTTAGAACAGATTTCATGGGTGTTTTGTACTACCTTAGGAACAGCAAAGCCATTATTAGTCATATTAATTCAGAAGCATCCTAAGGTAGTGTGGATTCAAGTTTGTTCGAATTATACTCCCCTAGCCACATCCTCCCCACCCCCCGAACAACTTTTATATTTAAACATTTCAATACTGAATGGATTTCTGCTTTTTCCTAGCCAAAGTGCTTAGATGAGCGATGTGGCCCATGGGCCTCTAGCCACATCCTCCCCACCCCCCGAACAACTTTTATATTTAAACATTTCAATACTGAATGGATTTCTGCTTTATCCTAGCCAAAGTGCTCAGATGAGCGATGTGGCCCATGGGCCTTTTGTTTGTTTTGATGATGTCACCTCTGGTACGGAGATGTCATTGATTTGATGATTTTTGAAGGGTCATTTTGCCATGGATCTTCTCATTAACAGAACTAAATAGAAACATGAAACTTTCAGGTATACAAGAGCTATGTGCATAGATGTGCATAAGATATTCCATTTTTACTGGAAATGCAGAATGATAGAAATATCATTAAGCGTTGCAATTGCAATGCTTAATGCCATAAAATTAGTGTTGTCAAATTGGAAGATTTTTAGTAACCACTTACTCGCATACTATTTCGATCGAGTACCTGGTTACTCTGATGATTTTTAGCTCTACTGGTCAGAGACCAGAACTCATGCAATAGTAAGGTGTCCATCCATCAGTCTGTTTGTCTGTAAACTTTTTTTTTTTAAAACACTACTTCTCCTACAGATTTGGACTGATTTCAATATATCTTGGCACACAAGTAGATTACACTAAGATACATAATTCTGTGTATCGATTTTTGATTTCGGTGAAAGATATTGCCATGGTTACTAAAAATAGAAATTTCTGTGAAGTACATTCAAAATGCTACTCCTCCTACAGTTTTGGTCTGATTTCAATATAACTTGGCACACAAGTAGACTACACAAAGATATATAATTCTGTGCATGGGTTTTTGATTTTGATGAACGGTGTTGTCATGGTTTCTAAAAATAGAAATTTCTGTGAAATACATTCAAAATGGTATTCCTTATGCAGTTTTGGTCTGATTTCAATATAACTTGGCAAAAAAGTAGAGTACACTAAGATACATAATTTTGTTTATCGGTTTTCCTCCTACAGTTTTGGAACTGATTTCAATATAAATTGTCACATAAGTAGACTACACAAAGATATATAATTCTGTGCATGGGTTTTTGATTTCCATGAACTGTGTTGTCATGGTTTCTAAAAATAGAAATTTCTGTGAAATACATTCAAAATGCTACTCCTCCTAAAGTTTTGGTCCGATTTCAATATAACTTGGCACACAAGTAGACTACACTAAGTTACATAATTCTGTATATCAGTTTTTGATTTTGATGAATGGTTTTGCCATGGTTAATAAAAATAGAAATA